AAGTTTTTGAATCCACAAAAAGATGGTGTCAAAAGTTCTATCAAAAAATGATGACAACATTTCTAACAGAAGATGCTATCAACAATTTTACCAAAACACAGTGTCCACCATTCTGTACAAAGATGGTGTTAACAATTCTACCAAAAGATGGTGTCAACAATTCTACCAAAAGATGGTGTCAGCAATTTTACTGAAAGATGGTGTCAACAATTCTACCGAAAGATGGTGTCAACAATTCTACCGAAAGATGGTGTCAACAATTCTACCGAAAGATGGTGTCAACAATTCTACAAAAAGATGGTGTCAAAAGTTCTATCAAAAAATGTTGACAACATTTCTAACAGAAGATACTATCAACAATTTTACCAAAACACAGTGTCCACCATTCTGTACAAAGATGTAGTCCACAATTTTACTGAAAGATGGTGTCAACAATTCTACCGAAAGATGGTGTCAACAATTCTACCGAAAGATGGTGTCAACAATTCTACCTAAAGATGATGTCAACAATTCTACCTAAAGATGGTGTCAACAATTCTACCAAAAGATGGTGTCAACAATTCTACCAAAAGATGGTGTCAACAATTCTACCAAAAGATGGTGTCAACAATTCTACCGAAAGATGGTGTCAACAATTCTACCAAAAGATGGTGTCAACAATTCTACCGAAAGATGACGTCAACAATTCTACCGAAAGATGGTGTCAACAATTCTACCAAAAGATGACGTCAACAATTCTACCAAAAGATGACGTCAACTATTCTACCAAAAGATGGTGTCAACAATTCTACCAAAAGATGGTGTCAACAATTCTACCTAAAGATGTACCTATGAGGAAAACTCTATCCCACATATCTGTTTGGAAGCAAAAGGCCAGCTCTGTAACACACCCATCCACCTATATATACTGTATAAAGAATGAGTATCAAATTATTGAGTTATATGTATGTGTTGCCCCTTAATCTAATTTTGGTATTACTGACTCTGGGCACTAAACACACACTCCAACATCTCTGGACACTTATATTCTACCACGGTGATGTCAACAATTCTACCTAAAGATGGCATCAAGAATTTTAACAAGAGATGGTACCCACAATGCTACCATAAAAATGGTATCTACAGTTCTGCCAATAGATGGTGCCAACAATTTTATCAAAAGATCGAGTCCACATACAATATTTATTACAGATGGTGCCTACATCTCTACCAAAGACAAAAACCTAATAAAATTTCTCTAAATACAAGTGTGGGGTTCAGTGTTAACAAGTGCTGTTTTCTACACAGAGAGGTATCACAAGTGTTGGTGGGGCTCAATGGTACTACCTTATAAGTACGACCTTCACAAAGCAGCTGATGACCTTGACAGGGAAAAGCTGGAGTGAGGGAGAGCTCTGCTTCACCTGTCTAGGTAGTATGTCGGTGTGTGCTACCAACATATGTGCAACTATCAGGCTCGATCATCCAAAACAGCCCTCTTCCAATTTATACACAACAGGCGGAGGAGACCAGTATTTATAGCTCATAGCCTAGTCTACTCTAAGATATCTACATTTTAAATTTTCTTGAAAAAAAATTTAAAAGGTTTTTTTCTGAAATATTATGCTTAATCTGGAAATTTATCACAAAATGGATCCTCAATGCATAAAAGCAAGAAACTCTCAATAGAACCATTATGAATATTTCAACATTTTAGAAGTGATCAAATCTCGTTGATATAGCATCAATCTAACAATGCTAATGATGAACTGGTATGTATGGATCTTTCCAGTGTTTGTTTTTTAGCTACAACACAAGACTTTCAATGACTTAGATCACCCCTGATGTTGGCTAGCTGATCGTGTGCCCAACAACTACCGGCATGAATGGCTGCTCAATGTTTTGGAATTTCCATATGGACTAGATTTATCTTAAAGAAAACATGATAAAAACAGCCTCGGAGCATTCAGGATCTGATCCACCTGTCTCTCCTTGTATGTACATGCTTCTCATTTGTGTCAAAATATTTAGCCATCTTTCATATTCAGGTTTACATTAAGGGAAGATGATAGAGCCCAGCAGCTTCTACATCTGTCCAATGATACATATCTTATGATGACAGATGTAGCAAATATTTCCATTTAATATTCAATGAATCACTGAATGATAAACAAGAAAACATGGTCCCTACCCCACATGCTTAAAAAAAAACAAAAATTTTAAAATACACATCCATTTTATCATTCTTTAGGCAAAACTCTACATCCTATAATTTATAAACAAATTTACTTTTGGAAAAAAAAAAAACATTTTCAGTAAATTTTCCCTGAATTTCTTTTCAAAAAGAAAATTTACACTCGGTGCATGAGAACAAATACATCATCGACTGAGCAAATTTTTCGTTGCAAAAAAATAAGGAACGTTTATTCACATACTTGTTTAGGGTTTCCTTGAAAATAGATATATCTCTACCAAAATACATGGATGCACAACACAGTAATAACAATATTATTTACAGATGCGCAGTAAATTTTTTTTTTTCACCAAGTCATTCTTTTTGCATTCTTCTAACCATATCCCAAACTTCCTCTTTATTAAACAATTTTCTTCAGAGTAGTAGCGAGCCAAATATTTTCCAGATACGTGACGGCAACGCGGCCAATTTTTCTGTACAATATTCTCCTGTCTAAACAATCTATTTTAGTTCACCTTGAATAAATCATACCAGTACTTCTTAATCTATTTTTTTTTTTAAACATTACATAAATATTCTGGCCGAGAAAACATCTGTTCCTGGTTCACATTCCTGAGTGTCAGCTTCAGTACTGAGAAACACTGGTAGTCAAATTCTCCTTCCACCCTCAACCCACCCTTCTCCATCCTCCTCTAACATCCCTTAATTCAATAAACTTCCTCCAGCCGTTATCCAGATTTCTACGGTATCTAGTGACGAGGTGTAATTAATACTTAGTCCTAGCCAATAAAGCTATATAAAGCTGTATAGAATATACACAGATCTGACAACAAGATGTTTTGCTCCAAGAAAAAATGTCAGCTTGCATGTACATTAATTCTAAGTACTAAAGTAAAAGTACATTACATTTCACAGACATGTCTCAGGTTTCCTTAACACATTACATAGCTCTTCAAATGTCATCACTAATGCAGATATTATAGAAATGTCTTGAAATAAGTGTCATGTTCCATCACTGTCTTGAAATAAGGCTGTGTTATGTTCGATCACAGTCTTGAAATAAGCCTGTGTTATGTTATATCATTGTCTTGAAATAAGCCTGTGTCATGCTATATGGAGGTGACCTTTATACACAGGTATTTGTCAAATAGAGGTGACCTTTATACACAGGTATTTGTCAAATAGAAGTGACCTTTATATACAGGTACTTGTTAAATAGAGGTGACCTTCATACACAGGTATTTGTTAAATAGAGGTGACCTTTAAAGACAGGTGTCTGCTATATAGAGGTTCGCCTGGATAGACAAGTATTTGTTAAATAGGGATTGCTTTCTAAGCAGGTTTGGATCAGTTAAGAATTCTATCACAATACATAGAGTAGGATTACTTGCCTCGCGAACGAATAAGCTAAAACCAGCGTTGATCGTAAAAGGATAGTGTCCTGACAGGAAAGATACAACAAACAGACACACATATAACTAACACTAATGCATTGCTAGAGATAAAGATACAGTGTTTACAGGGAATTTCTGTATCTTCTTAATAACATCATAGATTGTGTACGATACATTTCTTATCAGTATGTATCGTCTCTAACCCGCGTATCTAGGTATCATCATGTCATCTGTATAAGATATACCAAAGTTAGCAGGCCAGGATGATTCCTTACAAGTGTAGCCAACTGTCAGTATAACAGCCTATAAAGTACCCAGATTTACTGTATACTGGTAAATGTTTGTCTTTTTCGTCCATGAATAGGATGGGTGAATTTAGGATAAGGGTGAAAATTTGTTACATTTATACAACTCTTTTGTACAATCCTCAGAAGGCACAATGAATATAGGTGAAATCATGTATATAATGTTCCAAAGGCGAAAATATCATAGTAAACAGTAAATTAGTTTACTTCCTATAGGCTAGACAGACTGCCAGCCCATAAGATTTTATCAAAAATCGTCCAGCTTCATTTGTCTACCAGCTTATCTCCCCTTGGAATTGGCCCAAAATCGAAGACATCAAAATTTTGTAATGTGTATGAAGTAAAGAGATAAATGAGATAAATGCCAATCCTGTATACAGTTTAACATGGATTTCATATTTGTTCTTTTGGTTCCATACTAAGGTATGGCATAAGTAAAGTACTGAAATTATATATGACCAATGCAGTTTTTAGAGGCCATCATAATCCTGATGGTTGTGTGTCGGACTTTGAAAAACCTACAGAGTGATTTGATCCCTTCTGGAGCAGTTTATATTTCCCAAGGGAGCTGAGATAAAATTGTCTTGGGCTGTTGTGGTTGTGGCTTAGGGCAAGATACTCTTCCCTAGCTGTATTGCATATCATGGGCAGGCCTTCTGCATGGTGTTCTGTGGTGTAGTTACCGACTTCATACAAAGGAGACCTAATCTCAAAATAACTCTAGGGTTCATAAGGTCATAAACCAAGCAAGCCAATTCATCACTGTAATGAGGAACCAGATTGTACAACCATGATTGATTGCAGAAGTTCCAGACTACACCATTATATACAAGTTATGGTGGTCTAGTAATACACTGTAGCGTAAGAATATTCCCTCAAGCTTAGTCAGAGAGGAGGCTTATTACAAGACAATGATACAGCATATGTTGCCAAATCTATCTAAAAGAATTTGTTTTTTTCTGTTAAAATGGAAAAAGTTAATCAATATTCCATCTGGAAATCCAATGTTCAACAAAGATATCTAGATCCCTTCTGTTCTTTTTTATGTAGAGATAATGGTGACTGGTGTCTGATTGTCCTATATTTTCCAAGTGACTAGATTTTTCATTACAGTACATTCGTACTCACCTGATAAGGATTGACCGGCTTGCCAACAACCTTGACATCAGGGCGACCTTCAAAACTGACGTTGACCATCATGTCACTTCCTTCCCGAAAGCATTTCATTTTCAACTGTAAGCAAAACACAATATCATTTAATATAAGGCTATATAAACTTAACTGCAGATAAAGAAGGTGAGGGATTAAAGGTCAATTAAGGGAAGAGGACAAGTCAGGGGTAAGAGGGCAAGGGGACACAGAGGTCAAGTACGGAGAAATAGGTCAAATGAGACCTGAGAGGTCAGTTAAGGGGAGAAGTGTAAAATAAGTGGTAAGTGATCCAGTAATGGTTGAGAGATCAATTCACATGAGAGGTTAAGAAAAGATTCAACTGTAAAACAGAGCATTACACATCATAATTATTGATTACAGTTCTAAACATTTATATACATCAAATGATGCAGTTCTCCAAGCACAAGGAAACTGTGGGTTTGTCCAGTAGGTGACAGAAGAGGGTGTTAGTGTGTCCAGTAGGTGACAGAAGAGGGTGTTAGTGTGTTCAGTAGGTGACAGAAGAGGGTGTTAGTGTGTCCAGTAGGTGACAGAAGAGGGTGTTATTGTGTCCAGTAGGTGACAGAAGAGGGTGTTAGTGTGTCCAGTAGGTGACAGAAGAGGGTGTTAGTGTGTCCAGTAGGTGACAGAAGAGGGTGTTAGTGTGTCCAGTAGGTGACAGAAGAGGGTGTTAGTGTGTCCAGTAGGTGACAGAAGAGGGTGTTAGTGTGTCCAGTAGGTGACAGAAGAGGGTGTTAGTGTGTCCAGTAGGTGACAGAAGAGGGTGTTAGTGAGTCCAGTGTGTCCAGTAGGTGACAGAAGAGGGTGTTAGTGTGTCCAGTAGGTGACAGAAGAGGGTGTTAGTGTGTCCAGTAGGTGACAGAAGAGGGTGTTATTGTGTCCAGTAGGTGACAGAAGAGGGTGTTAGTGTGTCCAGTAGGTGACAGAAGAGGGTGTTATGGTGTCCAGTAGGTGACAGAAGAGGGTGTTAGTGTGTCCAGTAGGTGACAGAAGAGGGTGTTATTGTGTCCAGTAGGTGACAGAAGAGGGTGTTATTGTGTCCAGTAGGTGACAGAAGAGGGTGTTATTGTGTCCAGTAGGTGACAGAAGAGGGTGTTATTGTGTCCAGTAGGTGACAGAAGAGGGTGTTAGTGTGTCCAGTAGGTGACAGAAGAGGGTGTTAGTGTGTCCAGTAGGTGACTGAAGGTTGAGGATAAAACATTGGAGAGATGTTGAGGTAGGAGAGTGTCTCATGACATGTACTGAAGGTAGAGGATGAAACATTGGAGAGATGTTGAGGTAGGAGAGTGACCCATAAGTTGTACTGAAGGTAGAGGATGAAACATTGGAGAGATGTTGAGGTAGGAGAGTGACCCATAAGTTGTACTGAAGGTAGAGGACGAAACATGGGAGAGATGTTGGGGTAGAAGAGTGTCTCAGGAGTTGTCCTGAAGGTTGAGGACTAAACATTAGAGAGATGTTGAAGTATAGAAAATTGTCTGACTTACTGTTCCCTTAAGCTTGAGAATGTTTGTAGTAAGATTGGTCAGTTTAACACCCTCCGCCGTCTGCTGCGAGGCAAACACTGCCAGCGACAGATCACGTGAGTCGGTCTTACATGTGACCACCTGAAATTACAAAAGAAATCACATGTATAAGAACCAATACCGACACAATTAAACTGTCGACATTTTGATCCATTTAAAATAGAAACACACAATCCTTTCACTTTACATATCTAGGGCCTCCATGGTGATTTAACAGAATACCATATTTGTACATGTGTATATTAAGTAATTAGGCCAACACTAATGCAAGTATGTGTATCTCTTATCAAACAAACCCAAAATGAAATTTTCATAACTTTCACAGAATGACTATTTAAATTAAGATTTTGTAAAATCTATTAGAAAATAACAGGATTTCATGAAAAACCTGGTCTAGTTTTATGCTGATAAGTTTGTGGAAACACGTGTTATCCTTATAATTGTTTTAGACAAATACAAGAGGGACAGACAATAGCAATTTGTCCCAGAGATAATTGTTTCCAACCTTGGGAAAGTCTCCGACTGACTCGTATATTACATGACCCTTCAGGCCATTTTGATATCCAATCATATGCTACATTAGAAAATCTCTACTTCGAGAATGATCAATATATTCCCACATCACCTGTAACAAATACAACTATTCTTAAATAATATGGATTTATTGCATTAAGTAAACTATAAAATATCTGTCAGACAAAAATACCCTCACAAGCATAAAAGTATCAAATATGACCTTTGACCCTGTAACCTTGATCTATCACCAACTTAATATAATAAGGTGTTGAAATTCAAGTTGTGATACTCTGGGGAAAAAAGGAACTAAATCTGTGGACAACTTCTTCCAACATTGGCTCTAAATTGGACACAACTGGAAGTGACTATAAATAACATCACTGACTGACAGTGGACTGACAGTGGTATTGCTGTCATCCCATTTAGTGCTGGAGTAAGAAGTTCACCTATTTTAATTCTCACGCAATTCAAATCGATGTTTCCTGTATATCAAACACAATTCTGAAATAGTTTAATATGTTTGTTGGACACTATGAAATAGTAATCCTTGATTTTCCTTAAATGCTCGGCTCCTATACTTGATGTGGAAATATTTGGAAGCTTAGACAACAGAAATATTTCTGTACTTTGACTTGTAACAGAAAACCATCACGTACCAGAACCAGACAGTCCTTGTAACCCAGATAATAATGGTCTGTGGCATGATCTCAGAACCTATATATCCTGTTTTTATTTATCATCATATCATCAAAATTTCTGGAATTTTCTTTAACTTTTCTGAAAATGTTTGAAATGAAGGGAAAGCACCATAAATTCTTCTGCGTTTTCTTGTTCTAATATTTACCGTGTGCTTGCAATAATAAATTCTGACAGTATGAAAATATTCCTTCATGAAAGATTTGAGAATATTTAAACACAGGCAGGTTTTTGACAGTCTAAAAATGTCATTTCATTTCAGTAATAATAACCATAACTTTAAGGAGACATACCAAAGTTATGGTAAGTATTACCTCATGAAAATTGGTTTTACATGAAAAAACCTAAATTTACTAAGAAAGTCTTTAACACAATAGGGAAAGTCGATTTACTAAGCAAGTCTTTAACACAATAGGGAAAGTCAATTAATTAAGCAAGTCTTTAACACAATAGGGAAAGTCGATTTACTAAGCAAGTCTTTACACAATAGGGAAAGTCAGTTTACTAAGCAAGTCTTTACACAATAGGGAAAGTCCATTTACTAAGCAAGTCTTTAACACAATAGGGAAAGTCTATAAATAAAACAAGTCTTTAACACAATAGGGAAAGTCAATTAATAAAACAAGTCTTTAACACAATAGGGAAAGTCAATTTACTAAGCAAGTCTTTAACACAATAGGGAAAGTCAATTAATAAAACAAGTCTTTAACACAATAGGGAAAGTCAATTTACTAAGCAAGTCTTTAACACAATAGGGAAAGTCAATTAATAAAACAAGTCTTTAACACAATAGGGAGAGTCAATTTACTAAGCAAGTCTTTAACACAATAGGGAAAGTCGATTAATAAAACAAGTCTTTAACACAATAGGGAAAGTCAATTTACTAAGCAAGTCTTTAACACAATAGGGAAAGTCGATTAATAAAACAAGTCTTTAACACAATAGGGAAAGTCAATTTACTAAGCAAGTCTTTAACACAATAGGGAAAGTCGATTAATAAAACAAGTCTTTAACACAATAGGGAAAGTCAATTTACTAAGCAAGTCTTTAACACAATAGGGAAAGTCGATTAATAAAACAAGTCTTTAACACAATAGGGAAAGTCAATTTACTAAGCAAGTCTTTAACACAATAGGGAAAGTCGATTAATAAAACAAGTCTTTAACACAATAGGGAAAGTCAATTTACTAAGCAAGTATTTAACACAATAGGGAAAGTCGATTAATAAAACAAGTCTTTAACACAATAGGGAAAGTCAATTTACTAAGCAAGTCTTTAACACAATAGGGAAAGTCGATTAATAAAACAAGTCTTTAACACAATAGGGAAAGTCAATTTACTAAGCAAGTCTTTAACACAATAGGGAAAGTCGATTAATAAAACAAGTCTTTAACACAATAGGGAAAGTCAATTTACTAAGCAAGTCTTTAACACAATAGGGAAAGTCGATTAATAAAACAAGTCTTTAACACAATAGGGAAAGTCAATTTACTAAGCAAGTCTTTAACACAATAGGGAAAGTCGATTAATAAAACAAGTCTTTAACACAATAGGGAAAGTCAATTTACTAAGCAAGTCTTTAACACAATAGGGAAAGTCGATTAATAAAACAAGTCTTTAACACAATAGGGAAAGTCAATTTACTAAGCAAGTCTTTAACACAATAGGGAGAGTCAATTAATAAAACAAGTCTTTAACACAATAGGGAGAGTCAATTAATAAAACAAGTCTTTGACACAATTGGGAAAGTCAGTCAATAATGCATATCTTTGACACCTATAATAGGGAAACGACAATTAACTCAACAAGTTACGACTAGACTTGGTCTTTACAGTCAACATTACCATTCAGAGGACAGCCAGAATGAAAAATGGAATAATTTCTACAACACATTACAAGATCTTTTCCCAAAGGGCACATATCTGCTCCATGCATATAATTGTGTTTCTGGAATGGATGGTCCAACACACACGGTAGGAACAAAGGAAAGAGGGAGACACATCTAGGTTTTACAAATCACCAACTACAACACTATCACCAAAGGGAGGTTTTCATCAAATGGAGACGGATTCCAAACTTCATGTAATGATTTATCAAACATTAGCTATGAGATTACATTTAGAGAGAATGGCCGTGGATCATGGGATGACTAGAGGACAGCTAGTGACAATGAGTGTAGAATAGACAGTGGAATGGATCTACAACAGGGCTCTCGATCTGCCAGATTTGGGGCCGAACATTCCTAATGCAAAATAGTATCTTTTTTTCCCAATTTAGACCCCAAGTTTTCCCAATTCTAAGGAAAACACCATTATTTTTCCCAATTCAAAGGGCCCCAGGCCCCAGTCCCAAAATGGGGTGTGAAGCCCTGTACAATAAGTCAATGTGAAGTGATATTGTTAAGAAACACGGATTAATCTTGTATGTCAGAATTTCATAAATCAAAAAGCTGCATACGGAAATTCTAAATTGTCAAGCAGTATTAAAAATATCATCTCCTCTTTACTTTAAAAATAAGTCAGTCAGACCAAATATTTCCACAGGTTCCTAAAAAATGTGTAATTTTCTGAGTATTTCTGAAATAAGGCAGCATTGGGTAGGGAAAAACCATAAAGGAAAGGGAGAGATATAGAAGTAATGTTATCATTGCTTATACACTGGTTTTAATTAATTTTTACTAATTCTAGATTTTGTACCACTTGAGGGTAAATACATTAAAGAATACTGAGGGATATAAAGCACCACATCATGCCTGAATGGGTAATCATAAAATAGTTTTAATGAAGTGCCCCTTTGATTCCAGATCCAGTACAAGACAAAAAGAGAAAAACAGAATCTAACAATGGCTACAGCAGATAGCACCTGTTGCCATAGTAACAAGATAGCATCTGTTGCCATAGTAACCAAATTTTATCAACTGCTATTGAAGTGGGAAGCTGCTAAGAATAAAAAAACCTATACAGAATATCAAAGTTGATATACCATATTCCATCAAACATTACTGAGAAACCTTGGCCCTAATAAGTCCAATTCTGCATTTTTCTGGGAAAGACGATAGTGTACAGTACTCAATTAAAACTCACAGAAACACAGCATTATTTTTATTTTCTTTTTCTTCTCTTACAGTTAACAAGCTTTGACTTCAAATGGGGTTTCTTAATCACTTTATAATCACTAAAGTTTTATGCAATCTCAGCATTTTTCTGGAATCTTTCACAGTAAATGGTTTTATCAACAGCACTCCCTCCATGATTTTGTACATTAAGTGAAACAATATTACATCTGCAATGACATGTATTGTTCAGGCAGACACATTGTTCAAAGAATTCTGCTGAGCTCCTGTGGTATTGTATTTGTACAAATGGTATACACCAAAAGAGAAATCGAACAATTTTTTTTCAACACACATCAACTTAAATCTGTTTTTCAGTCAAAGAATCAATTGTTTGAATGGTTTAGAAACTTTTCTAGATTGAAAGAAGATAAAGATTTCCTGAAATGATGTAATGTAATCCCCTTCTGTCTCAATAATGACAGCTGAAAGTGACAGTTCTAATGAATTAAAAAAGAAATTATACTGTCATTTGTACTCCTGTGCTATACATACACATGTACTTTTAGCTAGAATTGTGTAGAGTGTATTCAGAATTGTGTAGTGTGTAGTCAGAATTGTGTAGTGTGTAGTCAGAATTGTGTAGTGTGTAGTCAGAATTGTGTAGTGTAGTCAGAATTGTGTAGTGTGTAGTCAGAATTGTGTAGTGTGTAGTCAGAATTGTGTAGTGTGTAGTCAGAATTGTGTAGTGTGTAGTCAGAATTGTGTAGTGTGTAGTCAGAATTGTGTAGTGTGTAGTCAGAATTGTGGCGTTGAG